AAAGAAGCCTTCAGATTACACGAGGATGGGTACAGATCCAGCGGTGCCATCATCACAGTTGAGTCTCCAGATTCCCCAGGAGCTGCTGCTTTCTGACTGCAACAGCGCAGCATGAGATATACTGAGTGAAACCAGCAGAACTGCTACTCAGCATAACCTAGTGAACACATAAAACTAAGACAGATTTCTTTTAATACATTGACTACCATACTAGAAACAAAATTTTCCCTGGGGCCATAGTGTTTTATTAAAACAAAACAATCCTAATTTGTTATTTTTTTATTGTTTTCTGTATGTAAGTTACATGTGACACAATCCATATTTTTAGAATTAAATGGTCAATGTTAATTGTAACAATAGGCACATCAACAAGTAAGATTTTCATGGAACAACTTTTTGCTTCACGTGGCCCTGGGCTCAAAACTAGCACGAATTAAATACAACTCATGTGGCAATCAGTGTGTTAAAGGTTGTGTTTTAAGCAACTAAGTTTTGGGGCAGTTTGTTATTTATCAATCAACAGTCAAAATAATGGCTCTGGATAGTATTCTCAAAGTTGTGTGATGTATTAATAGTAAAGAATTTATAAGTTTACTTACAGAGGTAAATGAAAATAAAGGATAGGTAGACAATAATCCCAGGATAAAAATATTTTGTCAATTGTTCCAACAGCCCCAAATGATATAATGTCTGTGGAGACTGAGTCTCTAAAATAAAAAAATAAATTTAGTTTTGGGGTGATTGTAAGCCTCCACTAATATCAATACAATGCACAAGTGAGGTATGTGGGTAAATAGTTTAATTGGTAATGGAATATTAGGAAAAAATTAAACCTTTGTGGTCACAGTAAACATATTTTACGGAGGGAATTCTAACTCCTTATTGTCTAATACAAATGTTAGTGATTGATAATATTTTTGTATGACTATAATCATGTGTTAAATATTGTGGATTTTGCTCTAATATAACTTTTAAGAAAATGTTGAGAAATATAACAAAGGGATATTGTCAATGAACAGGAGGTGAACTGAGGGAGAAGATTAACCTCTGGTTCTTTTGTCTCTTACCTATCCTCCAAAATGCCAAAAGAGTTACCTTTGGTCAAATAATCTTTGTAAAATTAACTAAAGGAATTTATAGGGAAATTCTGGATCCTAGGTAAATGAAAATCTGGCCAAAAACTAAGTATCAGAGCAGCCACATATACAAAAATATCAATATTAACTACTGATTAATGATTAACTGGCATTGATGATATGTAGTTAAATCACTTCTAGGAGTCAGTCATGTGCTTCTGAGTATACTAGTTAGGTATAAAAGCTAAAAGAGTCTAGAGCTGGTGATTTTCCTAGGCTAGTTTTGAACATACCTAATTATCTTCATTGCTTATGACTATCCATAGGACTTAATGATTTTGAGATTTTCAGATGCTAAATGTACTTCTATGCTGTTTTTGTATATTGTATGTTGTTACCTGACTTGTATACTTTTTACAACTAAGTAAATTTAGTGCAGAAAAAGAAGCTGTTGTGTCTCATGAACTTGACTGGCAATCTGAACCCAAGACTGGGAAGGTGGAGTGGTCTTTGCAGTTAACAGTCATTTGTTTGCATCACCCCAGATGAAGCCAAGTTTGTATGATTATTTCAGTGTGGGGCGCGGTGTCAACGCCATTACAAGATGGCGCCTGTTTCCGGCTTTGCCTAGAGCAGTAAACAAGTTCAGCGCACGCGCAATTGTCGGTTACCCTGTGGCGCAAGCATGCAAATGAGGGATCCTACTATGGACCAATGCTTTGGCGGCTCGACAGCTGAGCGGCCTATCCCAGCTTAGGGGTTGTGCTTCTAGGGTATATAGCAGCCTGCGTGCTGGCGGGCTGGGTCTTCCGCATCATGTAAGTCTAAAGGGAACCCCGTTAAAGCACTGTCAGAAGAACTCCAGTTGCCGCGTCTTCCTTGCTGGCGAGGCGGGCGCGACATTTCAGTACTTTAGCACAGTCTCTGATAAGAAATAACTGGCTTCTGGTCTTTGAGTATTTGGGGTTGACCAATGGATAAACCTGCTTTCTTTTGGGAAGGTGATGACACCCACTGCTAAAGTCTATAATTGGTAAAATTCATGATTTGCTCTCTGTTGGCTCCAGTTCTTAATAATCTCAACTAGCCTTGTTTTTTTTTTTTTTTTCCTAGAAGGAAACATTTTTATTTACTACTACAGACAGTACTAAGCTTTTATTTAAATTTTTTGTTTCATTTAACACAATACATTTCAGTTTTAAGTTAAACAAATTTAAAATGAGCCAAATAATTTTATCTTAATATATTCACTACATTTAGTAAAATAACATGGAACACTGTCAATGTCCAAAATATATTTGTTGTACTCCTGTAATTTATGTTGTTATGGCTACTTTAAGTATAATTTATACAATTGAATATGTCACAAAATTTAACTTTTATAAAATACCAGACACACACATATATATATATAATTTACATTTCTGTATTAGCTTATAGGAGACAAGTAGTTAATATTTCATATTATTTTACTCATGAATGAATATTGTAAAAATTGGAGAAAATATAGATTTTCAAATTATTGAGACGTATAAAAGTGTTAGGCATGAACAATGTAAATGTATGATCTAGGTTATGTTTTATTGACCCCAGATAAGAAGAGCTAACATTTATTGATCTCTTACTGTGTGCCCGAAACTGTCCTAAGTGCTTTATGATCAAGAACCTTATTTAATTTTCATAGACTCTATTAATAAGATCTATTATTTTCACCCTTTAACAGACGAGGAAACTGAGAAAGAGAGAGTTAAATAACTGGCCTAAGTAAGAAGCCAGTAGGAAGCAGAACTAAAATTAAACTCAGGCTGAGTAAAGAGATGGGCTCCTCACTTTGTACGGCAGCTGTGCCCCTGGCATGAATGCTCTACTAAATAATGTGCGGTATTCCAGGGGCATGGAATCATGAACCATAACATAAGTTCATTGGTCAGAATATGAAAATTCTTACAGTCCTTGACTATTTACTTTGGTAATTTACAGGCATTCTAGTTCGATTATATTTTCCTATGTAACACTACAGTTTCATATTTTATTGCACTTTTAGCCAACACTTATAAAATTGATAATGTTTCCTCTCTTTCGCTATGTTTTTCATATATATATATTATTTCATCATATTATGGGGGTACAAATATTGCTAAGGTTACATATATTGCCCTTGCCTCCCCTCCCCCCTCGAGTCAAAGCTTCAAGCATGTCCATCCCCTAGGTAGTGCGCGCCAACTAGTTTTGTTTTTGACACTACTGGATCCAGTGCTGCAGCCTCCATTGTGTGGCACATTCAATAGTTCTCAGTTGTTCTACCGGGAAGCCTTCCTTTGCCTCATGACATCTGGGATGCAACAGAGGACTTTGAACTTCTCTAAAATGCTTGACATTTTCCAATTTTATATTCTCACAAATAGAAATAATCTCTAAGTGCATCCGGTTATTTCTAGCTTCTGCTGGCTTAAAAGTTCCTGCCTGAGCAGCGATCCAGGACACCTGTCTTCTGAATTCTCCTTCAGATGCTCTCATATAAAGCAAAAGCCTATCTTTAATAGTCCCATTTTGCTTGCTAGAGAATCCTCCCATGTCCTATCTTCTTCCTCCTCATGGGATTACCCATGTTCTCCCTTACTTGAGATCACAATTGAGTACTGAAATCAGGGTATTCATTCATTCCACATAAAGGAAAATCAATATTTGTTATGATCCAAGCTTTATTCTAGATGTTGACAGTTGTGAATAAGTTACATAAGAGCCCTAATGTCATTGAACTTATGTTTTTGTGAAGAGAAACAGAAAAATATATGGATAAGAAAATTACAGAAACTGATGAATGTTAGGAATACAATAGAACAATACGACTTGGGGAGGAACATAGATTTGGGTGATTAGATTAGGCCTTACTGAGGAGGTGCTTTTTTTTTTTTTTTTTTTATTTTGGCATATTATGGGGGTACAGATTTTAAGGGAAGGAATATGAATGGCCAATTATCTCATGAAAAGATGCTCCCTAATCACTCATTAGGAAATGCAATTAAAAATGAATATATACTCAACCACCAGGATAGCTACAGATGGAGACAGACAATAACTGTGTGGTGAGAGTGGAGAAATGGAAATCTTCATATATTGCTGGTGGGATTTTTTTAAATTTATTAATTAATGTATTTTTTTATTTTAGCATATTATGGGGGTAAATGTTAAGTTTACTATTGCCATGCCCCTTCCGTCGAGTAAGACTTCAAGCATGTCATCCCCCAAACGTTGCACATCTTACCGTTGTGGTTGTATACACCATCCGTCCTCCCCCCTCCAACCTTCCTGACAATCAATAAATATTACTCCTATATGCCACTTAGGTATTGATCCATTAATAGCAATTTGCTGGTGAGTACATGTGGTGCTGTTTTTCCATTCTTGAGATACTTCACTTTAGTAGAATGGGTTCCAGCTTTATCTGGAATATATAAGAGGTGCTATATCACTGTTGTTTCTTAAAGCTGACTAGTACTCCATGGTATACATATAGCACATTTATTAATCCACTTGTGGGGGCGGGTGTCAAGCCATTACAAGATGGCGCCTGTTTCCGGCTTTGCCTAGAGCAGTAAACAAGTTCAGCGCACGCGCAATTGTCGGTTACCCTGTGGCGCAAGCATGCAAATGAAGGATCCTACTATGGACCAATGCTTTGGCGGCTCGACAGCTGAGCGGCCTATCCCAGCTTAGGGGTTGTGCTTCTAGGGTATATAGCAGCCTGCGCGCTGCCGGGCTGGGTCTTCCGCATCATGTAAGTCTAAAGGGAACCCCATTAAAGCACTGTCAGAAGAACTCCAGTTGCCGCGTCTTCCTTGCTGGCGAGGCGGGCGCGACAAGTGGTGCCGAAACCCGGGAACCGAAACAATTTTGAAGCACCAGCGGAGACGACCTCGACAGAGGTGAGTTCAGAACTGACGTGTGGGACGGCCAAAACCCCCCGCTTCCATAATGGGTAATATTCCGCTGCGGCGCTTTATGTGGCCTATAAGAGATCTTTTATCATCACAAGGAGTGCACTGCGAGGAAAAGACCCTCATAAAATTTTTGAAGGAGGTGGACCGTGTAGCTCCTTGGTTCCTCCACTCGGGTTCTTTGACTATTCCCTCTTGGGGGAAGTTAGGACGGGACCTTCGTAGTGCGGGGACTCTGAGGCCAGGCACCCTCCTTGTTCACAACCTAATTATGGAGTGCCTGCATGATGAAAGCTCAGGCCCGCGCGTAGCGGCTAGCCAAAAAGCCTTAGATGACTTGCAAGACGCAAGTTCGGA